TGCCCCCCCCCCCCCCCCCCCCTCTCTTGTTCGTGTCAGTAAAAATGTACCTACCTATTACTAAACCCTGCATTCAATAAATTTTCTAATTGCACTTTAAATTTTCTAATTCTCTAGTTGCGCTTTAAATTAAATACTAAAATATATATTATACCATTACATAGTCATATATAAAACTTTTCATTCTAAGTTTAAAGAATCAATTTTTTTCAATGCAACTCAAACAAAATGTGAGAAGGTATGTATAAACAATTAATTGAACTAAAACAGCAGACCCCCCCCCCCCCCCCCGCCTTCATAAACTGTCTAATATTTTATGAACCCCCCTTTTTCCTGGCTAAAACATATGTGACCCCCCCCACTGTTTCCAACTCCCCACCCCTCCTGCTAAATTATGACCAGTCCCTTATGTGCAAATGAGGATAAATTAAAATCAGGAAACTGCACTTGCTTACTTACTTACTGGAAAGCAGAAAGCACATAGCTTACCCTAACTGGACTTAAATTGTTGTTAAGAATATATTTCTGCAGAGGTTCCAAGAGCTTAGGATCAAGCTTTGGTGTAGTTTCAAGACCTATGTGAAATAGATGCAAGTTATTCTTCCAAGGAAGTTGACAATAATTTTGGTGAACTGCAAATCATTATCAGTGGTGTAACTTTACTTTTTTGACCAGGGCAAGTTGGACATGAAAATTAGTTGCCCTGAATAAAATTCACTTGCCATCAGACAATGGCCACTGGGGTACCTAGGTAGGGGGTATAAATTAAGGGGACAACATGACGACCCGTTCTCCCACTGTTCTATATGGCTATGTTATACTGCCTCAGATCTAGCTTTGGCCCACAAAAAACAAAATTTGAATCAAGTACATGCACTATAAAAAAATTATCCGACAATGAAAACAGTCATGAACTTAAGGATACCTGTTTTTTTGTGGCAAGGCAACTTGCCCAATCGGGCAAGCAAAATAAAATGTTTACTTGCCCGTCATGATATTCACTTGCCCCGGGCAAGCGGGGTTAAGTTACACCTCTGATTATTGACACGACTTTGAGCCTACCTTGTACTTTTGTATAGTATTCTAAATCTTTCATTGAAACAAAATTGTTTATGAGGCTGACACATTCATGTCGACCTAAATAGAAATTTAAACAAAAGTATCATTTCGTTAATACATGGTTCAGACAGCATTTTGGGGGCAGCATCCATATTCAACTTGCCACGAGAAACGTCAATTTGACGTTTCTTTTTCATACCCACCCATGCACCCACCCTAGAAACGTCAATCCATGCAGGGTGCGATAATTCGTGTACTTACGAATCGGAGTACGCCAATATTACTGTCTGGTACTTCTTTGTTTTCAGCGACGTACCACGTAGGTACGCGGAACTCTTGCTATCTGCGTACTTACTTTTTGCTGGTACCACATGACCTTTCCAAGTCCAAGGTATTCAATACCGTAATTTAGTTGGTATATCATGTGTCTGAGATGTCTTGGCATGAAACATGATTGCACTGATGGCACTAAGAAACGCTGGAGTCGGTTGTTTTAAATAGCAAAACACCCTTTTGAAATAGCAAAACCCCTTTTCAAATAGCAAAACTCCCTTTCCAAAGAGCAAAACACCCTTTTCAAATGGCAAAACTCCCTTTCCAAAGAGCAAAACACCCTTTTCAAATAGCAAAACACCCTTTTCAAATAGCAAAACACCCTTTTCAAATAGCAAAACTCCCGTTTCAAATAGCAAAACTCCCTTTTCAAATAGCAAAACTCCCTTTTCAAATAGCAAAACACCCCTTTCAAATAGCAAAACTCCCGTTTCAAATAGCAAAACTCCCGTTTCAAATAGCAAAACTCCCTTCTCAAATAGCAAAACTCCCTTTCCAAAGAGCAAAACACCTTTTTCAAATAGCAAAACACCCTTTTCAAATAGCAAAACCTGTACTTTATGAACCTTATTTTTAAAGACTAAGTACACATTGAGCATTGAGTACTGAGTTTGTTGAGTCTAGCGCAAGTACGCGGCAACAACCATTGGCGTACCAGTCAGGTACGACTAGAAATCTTGAATGATCGCACCCTGCCATGGCCAGAAAAAAACAAGTGTGAATACTCGAAAATACTTGTATTAACTTCCATATCATCCTATATATCTCATAAAGTACTTTTGAAGAGAGAGTGGACTATGGCGAACAATATTAACAAACATAACAAATATTAAAATCTAAAACCTTGATTTACCGTCTGGCAAAGTAAGAAAGTTTGTTTGTTTGTATGTATTACAAATATAGAATTTTATATTATACAAAAGAATTTTATATTGTACTAATTTATAATATTCAAAAGTGTCAAACTGCCACAGGCAAAACATCAAAGAAAATAACCCAGACACCCACAAACGTCAAATTGACGTTTCTCGTGGCAAGTTGAGTATGGATGCTCCCCCTTAGATAGCATAGTATAAGAATTCACCTGTAAATGCTCCTAACTGAGCTGCCGTTCTTTTTATGTCATTCTGTGCTGTTTTGTCTGCCCCAGCCTCCAAAAGAATTTTTGTCACCTCCAGTGATCCTACAAGAATATATCAAAGACCTTGAAACAACGATCAATTCCATGCACTGTCTCCAAAAATTTCAAGCCTAAATATTCTCTGTTTTACCTGATAAACATGCAAACATCAGGGGAGAGTACTAAAAATATCACAAATTGAAAGTTAATATTTTTCTACTCAATCACATGGTAATTCAGGGTTCGTAGTCTCCAAGACCAAAAAAATTCAACGACTTTCAAAGATTTTTTCTGCCTATTTTCAAAGACTTTTCAAAGACCTTTGAGAGCAATCAGCCGCGAAAAATTGTGAGTGTAAGCACCATTTTTATGCAGTAATTAGTCCCGTCAAATCACATCCTAAAATGCATCTTTTCGTCGATATTTGCGAAAATCTTGATTCAATCAATCTATTTTATTAGCTAGGAAATCGTATAATCAATTCCTCACTAAAGAATTTAAAGACTTTCTTCAACGCTTTTTCACACAATGTAAAGACTTTTCAAAGACCTCAAAGACCTGCATTCCAATTTAAAGACTTTCAAGGATTTCAAAGACCGCTACGAACCCTGTAATTACACATAGGTCATTGACTTTAACTAATTTTGCTCCGGTTTCAACCAAACCTCTCAGAGTTTTTTTAAACTATTTTTTCGAGACTTTGGCCTTTGCGTCAATATCATAGCTATAGAGCTAGCTCCAATCACGGTTATTAGTAAGGGTTCTTACTATGGAGCTAGTTTCTTTGGGCTAGTGTTATTAGAGAATATTGCAGATTTACAGTTATCAAACTCTGCATGCAGTGCTTAAAATTCCTCACAAAATTTGGGAAATTAACAGCACTTTTAATTAGAGCCTTAGACCCATATATATGTTTCTCTTGCATGTTATCCGTAGATGTTTCTCGTGCCTAGAGCATTGAACTATAAATAAACTGGAAGGCTAACTCAGGGGGGGGGGGGGGA